AGCAGCACTCTGCCATCAGCATTCGCCTCTCAGCAGTCTGCCCAGCACAGCATCCAGTCATGACCAGGGGGGCTCCAAATATAACTTTCATCCTCCTTTCCCCTCACACTCTCATGGCCATTGTGGCCATTTGAGATGGGCCCAGGAATTCTTTTTGGCAGCTCCTGCTGCTCAGGGATCGAGCGAGAGGCATGGCTAGTATTCCTAAACTCTCTCTCTCCTTGTTCCCAGACGGGACATCAGTCGGTCAGCATTTTGCCAGCTCTGTTGGTTCTGACCTGACATTTTTCATTTATAAGTCTGTATTTTTACTTAGTATATAGATTTTTAAGTAATAGAGCATATAAAAATATAGTACATGTAGGATACACATATTTATTTAGAAGTTAGTTAAATAGTAGTTTTTCAATAGAAATATAGAACAAATAAATCTCTCCCAGTGTCTCCCCATGTGCCCTTAAGGGACACCTTTAGGTCAGCACTGGACCAAGACTATCTTTCCCAGTCTGGGTCTCAGCTGACCTCAAGTTTCTTAGATATAAAGAAACCCTTTTTTTAAATTTTTTAGCTATTTCCTATGTATTTTTTAGGGAAATTTTGATGATATTTTTAGATAAATGTAGCACGAATAGGTCTCCCCTTATTTTTCCCGTTACATATTACCTCCCTGTCGTCCCTGCTTTTATGACTGGAAAAGCAGAATATGCTTTCTCCTTTTTTCAATAAAGAGAGCTATTCCAGAAACTGAGATGTGCAAGTTTGTATGGAACTCAAGCGGGCCCAGAGTCTTGGGAAATCACACCAGCTGTGAGTCTGTGCTCATGAACATTGGCACTGAGCTCGACCAAAGTGAGAGTGCTGAACTGGTTCTCCTCCCAAATTAGGCCTCCTGCCACCCAAACCCTCTGCTCATGGAATCTCAGAATGGCTCTGCCTGGAAGGGACCTTAAAATTCACCTGGTTCCAACCTCCCTGCCATGGGCAGGGACACCTTCCAGCAGATGTGGCTTCTCCAAGCCCCATCCCACCAGACCTTTAACACTCCCAGGGTTGGGGCATCCACAGCATCTGGGGTCAACCTGTGCCACTGCCTCATTACCCTGACACTCAAGACTTTCTTCCTGCTATCCAAACCGAGCCTGCCCTCTGAAATCTAAAACCATTCCCCCTTGTCCTGTCACTACATGCCCTTGTAAGAAGTCTCTCCTTCTCTCTCATATAGGCTCCTTTCAACTGCTGGAAGGCAATTAGGTCACCCCAAAGCCTTCTCTCAAACCAAGCCCAATTCTCTCAGCCTTTGTTCATGGCAAAGATGCCCCATTCTCCTCATTACCTCCCATCTGTTGGCCACACAGCCCCTGCAGCATTGAGAAAAAGCAATGATTTGCTTTCTAACACTCAAACTGCAGTGTTAGGGGGTTTTCTTGTCCCAACAATTTGGGAGGATTTTGGTGACAGGAGAAAAGTCTGATGGGAAGCATTGGAGAGAAGTGGGGATTTTTAGCATGGAGAAAAAGAGAGTGAGGGAGGACCTACTGGTCCTCTACAACCACCTGATAGGAAGTGGTAGCCAGTTGAGAGGTGGCTTATTATATCTGGGAACAAGCAATAGGACAAGAGATGCCTCAAATTGCGCCAGGGGAGATTTCAGTGGGATCTTGGGAAGAATTCCTTCACTGAGAAGCTTCTCCACTTTAAAAACAGACTAGCCAGGGAATGGCTGAGTCACCATCCTTGGAGGCATTGAAAGGGCCTGTCGATGTGTCATTTGGGTACATGGTTTATTCGTGGAAGAGGCAGTGTAAGCTTTGAAGATGGACTAAAGATCATAAGGGTCTTTCCAACTTCCATAATTCATAATTTAATTTAAGCTCAACCAGTGCGGAGTTGGGGGTTGGACTCCAACATCCTTGAAGCTCCCTTGAAACCTGGATATTCCATGTGACTGCCACTGAAGAGGAGATGATAACAAATCGCAAAGAAAGAAAAACGGAACTTCTTGGAAGAAGATTAACTCAAGGGCAGCCTTAACCATTACACCAGGTCCACTCGGAATTGCTGAGCTGGGGTGAGATGAAAGGCAGAGCTGACCTGGCTGTGATGTGATCGGGCTCTTGTGACATCACAGGGGCCGTGTCACAATGGGGGCAGCTCTAGAGGGCCCCAGCAGGTAACGCTGCCCCAGTATAGCCTGGACAATTGGTGAGTACACACGCTGGGCCGAGGCTGGGCTGCACGAGGGCCGGGGCAGAAACTCTGTCCCTGGGGATGGGTTCTCACTCTCTATGCAGGGGCAATCCTTCACCAGAACACCTTGGGCATACAATGGTGCTGCTGTTCCTGGGGCAGTGGCACAGACCTGGCTACCCACCAGCTGCCCTGGGGCCCTCTCCTTC